CATTTACAGTTACAAGTTGAGATTTGTCCACTGATTTTAAAATGACCAATGATAACTTCACATTATACAAGGAGGCAAGACACCAGAATGCTACAGGAGACAGTGTCGTGTCGTACACTCAGATGTTCAAAATCTCAGCCCCATTGTTTTTACTACAGGATAATCTTCCTGTAAACGTCACACAGATACTGTATGTCAGTCATTTTATGTGTGGTTCTTTGTGTACCCGCCATAGACTGTATATATTAACGGACGTAGTCACGCCTATCTCCGCCGTTCTAACTAATGGGCCAAAAAATGTGCTCTACTGGAGCTATCCAAAATGGCCACGAGTGGTCCCGCCCACAAGAAAATTGTAAAAAAACGCATCTGCGCATGCGTCAGCCGGCGAGAGCTCCACTCATTTAAACGAGTGACTTCAAAAATTCACAGCGAGTAAACTAGAGTGGTCCAAAAAAATTCACCCCCCTCAGCATTGACACACATGTGGAACGGAGCTTTGGGCCAAGAGCCAGCTTTTGGACCATCCTGTAAAGAAATTTTCGAGAGGTCTGTCAATGCTACATGTTAGCATTGGCTAATTCTACTTCTGGGTCCACCCCCATCGGCCCGGGGTGGTATTGCAAGCATGTCAGCGCACATCATTTTGGCCACTTTTGAACCGGGACCCGCCCCCACTGGTACCCGCATAGTTCATTGTACTTCTTGGCTCTTGCCCGTGTAATCAGAGCTGTCCTTGCTTCTAAGCCTTTGATCAGGGGTCCCAGACAGATCCCAGCTGCAGTGATGAGGGTGCTGCACACAACAAGGGCCAACGAGAGCAGAGAGCTGTCGTAAAGACCCCAAACTTCTCAGAAGACAACATTCTACAGTTTGGAGGAATCTGAATATATTATGGACCAACTGACGGATCCCTTCAGTTACACCTAAATAATGGTAGAATCTGAAGTGGTTGTTGGCGTACATTATTCTTATTTATTGATTATTTTGATAAGGACACAATAAACAGGTGAAAATAATTGCAAATTAGCCTTGGATTTTAGTTGAATATTACAAGCCACAACAGGGCGGCATGGTAGCGCTTGTGCGTCACAGTGAGAAGGTCCTGGGTTCAATTCCACATCTGAACAGGGTTGTGAAGTTTGCATGTTCTCCCAGTGTCTGCCTATTGTCCTCCAGGTGCTCCAATTTCCTCCAAGTGCTCCTGTTTCCTCCAGGTGCTCCGGTTTTTCAGGGTGCTCTGGTTTCCCCTGCCACTAAAAATATGTACACTAGTTTGGCTTGAAGGAGTGTGTTTTTGTGAGTGCGAATGTCGTACAATGAATGGACATTTTCCCAAGGCTGCAGTCTGGTGTGTTTACTGCACTGCTGTTCATGAATACACACAGTCCCAACCAAACCAAACTAATAATAAAACCAAAATAGTCATCAAACGTTTCAGCCAAAGAAGAATCCATGAAGAAAAAAATAGTGTAGGTTTATGTTGTCCAAGGTTGAGGAAATGTTTCATAAAATGGCATCAAGCACTAAAACATCTCCCTCATCCATTGGTCAATGTCAATGTCAACTTTGTATTGCATATTTACAGCCACACCAGCTGTCCAAAGTTCTTCCAGGGCACAAAAGATAAAAAGCATAAAATACTTACAAATACATGTATAATTGCAGAAAAAAAACATAATTGGTGGTGCTGCTGTCATTGTAAAAACGGAACGCCGAGATTGCTGATCCAATCACAACAGCGAAGATACAACTGGTGGGTCCTGTGTGTCGTCCAGTGCGGATCGGTCAACACAGGTGGACAGGTCTCATGGAACACTCCTGGAGCCAAACGCATGTGCAGCAGGTGGCATTCTGGGTACGAATTGTTGACTATAAAACACGCCTGAAGCAGATATTTTTCTTGCATGTAATCTCACAAGCAGATCATCAAACATATGTGCTGCTCAGTAGACTCCTTTTACATTTCAATTTTGCACATGTTTCTTTTTCACAATGGCACCTGGATGATGAACTGCGATTGAGGAGTTGGATTGGGCAAAATATTGATGAACAAACATTTTAGGTATTCCTACAGTAGCTTCAAAAATAACAAAAAACAAATGCATAAATCATTCAAATAATAAGACGTTGAAGAACAAATTCTCCTGTTTCATTTCTGCTCAACAAGATGTTCTGTCCCTTGTACCTACGCTTGCACTGTCGTATTTAGCATTAACTGTGACATTCAAGTCCATTTTCAATTGGAGCTTGTGTGTTGCCATGGAGAAATGAGGATTTAAAAGAAGGCAAGCAGAAATAATAGCTCATAGTGATCCACTGTGCTGTGCAAAGCTGTGTCCCGAGGAATCCGAGAAGTTCATGTTTTCAAAAAATTTCCGTTTGCTCATCTGTGTTTCCCAGTTAATCTGGATATTTCACATTTTACAAATCTCCCTGCTTGTTAGACTCCTTTTTTCATCAAATTCATTCAGACGAGGTAGAATTAATGAGTAAATATTAAAATTGTAGACTTTTAAATTACAAATATTAAATATTGACTTTAGAATTATATATGATTTTGAGGAAGGGAATCTAGGTTTGAATGTATTTTATCTTTTACAGAATGCATATTTGACCCTATCTATTCCTCTAAGTGCAAGTTAAAGCCCCTCTTTTCCATATGTCAACGCATTTATGACCAATGCTAATGGTGCACTTATACACTTGTCCTATACATGTACATCTGCATAAAAGTGCAGTGGAAGTCTGAAAGGGCATTGCCATCATGCCCAGTGACAGAAGAGGTGTCGTTGAGCAGTAAATCGGAGCAGCTTAAGCCCATTGCCCACCTCTGCGTGGCCTTTGAGCTGTGTGACCTCTCCTTTCACACTCTCTCTGTCGCTCCGGTTTTCCTTCCATCTCATCAAATAAATACGAGCGCCGGCCTCCTCCAGAGAAATGCCATTTCCACTGCTGCTGTTGCTGACGCTCTAAGCCTTTTTTTCTCACACCATTTCACTCACAAGTATTTTCCGGCTCTTCCCTCTTCTCCAGGGACGTGGGGCAGTGGCTGGAAGCTGGGACCTGGACCACTTTTATGGAACAGTTTTATCCCAGACTCGGGGGTGTTTGACCCAATCCACCCTGCTGACTTGGCCTGCCCTTGGAGGCGTTCATAAACCCCTCACTCCATTGAAGATCATCCATCCATCCATCCATTTTCTTCCCCTTAATCCATTTCTAGGTTGGGGGGCGGCAGTCAGAGCTGCACCCGGTACACCTCACTGATCCTCCTGCAGGTGGTGAGTCCACAGGAGCTAAGATCTTTCAGGGGGGGCGTCAGGCAAAGTGGGGTTAAGTTTATTTATTTAGACATATATTTAAAGAGGAATAACCCCATGATATGCATCATCTGGTTTTTGTGGGGGTCCTCTATAGACAGGTTACAGCAGAGTAGTCATTTAATGTACAACAACAGCAAAAGAAACAAAGTGTCTTAGGCCCAAGGACACAACAACAGCAGACATTTGTGGGAGTCGTGAAGTAGGTCTCATGGTGGGCTCGAACCCACGACCTTCAGGCTCAAAGGCCAATGCCAATGCAGTCACTGCCGCCCTACGGGTCCACTGATGGACATTTTGAAAAAGATTAAGAACATGTTAAAGCTGGGGTATCTTCAAACCCCAACATTGTGGCGGCACCTGCATGTGAAAGTCAGATTTCCTAAGACCTTTAAAGCTAATCAGGACCGGATCTGGTTAGTATTATGATGGGAGACCTCTGGGAACACAAGGTGCTACAGTGGGGTGGCTATGGCTGCAAAGAGCCAAACCGTTGTTGACACTGTGTGTGTGAATGGTTGGTGATGTCAGTTTGCTCCAGGGCTGCAGTAGCTTATCACCACCGTGTATGGAGATGTGAAGACATGTGAAGCTTCTTTAAGCATCCAAAACTCTTTCTGTTAGGGCAAACACAAATGTATTAAGGCATGTCGGCTTTATTTACATAAGTTCACCATAGTTTGAAGTTAATTTCTAATATTATCTTTTTGATCTGTACACTTCGAAGTGGTATTACTATTTCTGTTTTTGTATAGTACGAAGAACTAAGAAAGACATACTGTATTATTTGAACTAAGTAACTCTGCAGTTCTCTGTTTAGCAGAGAACACACAGTTCATATTTTGTTCTTTTGGAGGAGAAGTTGTCTCTTCTTTTGGAATCTTTGGAAAGACTACATTTACAGGAATCCGGCACAATTAATACAGTTGGCAACAACACCAGGCCGAAGAGAAAATAAATATATTCCAGACTTACCCAGGTCATTTGTACTGTATGTCAATATTCAGTTGTAGTTATACTACCATCGGAAACACACTATGACAATTAACATGGTTTTGAAGAAACCAAATCAAAGGGGAGAAGATAAAGAGTGGCTTGATATGTGTGATCTACACAACCCTGGTTTACAGCTATTTTCTCTAATTCCCGGACCAATCCACATGAAACAATAACTGTCTCAAAGTTCCACTTCTTCTCTGTCAGTATATATCAAATATGGTCTCAACATTCTCTCATTAAAGGTGTCTATAAGTGGTGACAACATTAAAATATGCTGATGTTGGCCAGTGGAAAGAACTTTCAGACGTAAGAACAATGTGGCGGGTTTGTGAATCTATAATGACTCTAAAATAAGGATCTGGGAAAACATTTCAAATACTGCCCCTTTAGCGATTTTAACAAAACTTATGAAGGATTCAGCGCTGGAAGAGTGTTGAAACTGAGCTCGTCATGCAATAAAGAGTGCTTGATGAACAACTTTAATTCAACAGTTTGTTGAATCGAACAAATATTTGTCCCTGAGCAGCTAATTAGCGAGGTCCCTTAACCAAGAATAAAGATCACAAAAATAATCCTGTCAAACGACCTCTATCAAACTGTGTTGGACAATTCTATTTCACAAATGAGGTTTGAAAGTCTTTATTTTGAGTCGAACCACTTGCAGAGTACAAATGGGAAATGAGCAGACTGGTGCAAGCTTTTCCGAGCTTATTCATTCAGTCCGTGCTCTACAGGCACAATCAGCGGTGTTGCAGTGAATCCAGGTGGAGACGCCTCATCATCATCATCATCGGTGGTGAGTGACAGAAAAGCATTTAGCCTGTGCTCTTCCCTCGGCTCACACCCGCAGACCTCTCTGTTCACACAGCAGCCCCAGGGAGGAAAATAACAGTCCACATCCAATATCAGCATGTGGTAATTATGCAGAAAGACATACATTCCCAACATTGTCAAGTTACCAAAAATCTAAATAGAAAGAGCCTGTATAATGTGCTTGTGTGATCATGAGTTTAGCTTAGTAATATGTGGTGCAGTAAAACCATGGCAACAGGGGTTTATATAACAAAAAAATAGTTATTATTTTCAAATTGTCCATTCAGGCTGTGTGTCGATGTGAGCTTTGAATAAGAAATGGCAAATACCTGTTGAAATACAAAACTAAGGAAATAATATAATCTTCTGTAAAACTTTTATATTTGCACATGTATGCACTGTTTGGGCGAGATTTCAAAATGCCTATATTTTCCTACTCCTGATAGTATAATTCCACATGAAATACATGACATGACATATTGTAAGAAAGTCATCTTTATTTATATGGCACCTTTCACAGACGAGAGTCACAATTGTTGAGGGCATTTGTCTCTCACTCCACACAGAGATGGGAGTGAGGTTGCCATACAGGAGGCGCATGCCAGACCTATTGCACATGTTTTTAGTGGTTATGGGAAACCGGAGCACCCGGAGAAACCTACACAGACACAGGCAGACCCAGGACCTTCTTGCTGTGAAGCACTAACCACTGCGCTATATGCCGCCCAAAAAATCATGATGTTTTTGTATAGTACCAGAGACTACACTTTTTCCCCATTTCTTACAGGTTAATATTACTGTAGTATTTGATACCGGCATTGGAACTATAGCGGGAAAGTTATTCAATAATTCAACATGTTCTGAATAATAATAATAATACATTTCACTTATATGGCGCCTTTCTGGGCACTCAAGGTCGTCTTAAAAATGTAGAAAGTTGAAAGCAAAAGACAGATAAGAATGGAGAGTTATAGTCTGATGGTCTGGAGTAGTGTGTTATCTAGTTACTACTCCACATATTTAAATAAAAACTCAATATAAAAAAATAACTTTTGTTTACCCTTTAACTTTTTTGCTTTTATCCACAATGAGATGGTGGCAAAGTTGAGAAGTTGGTGTCTTCATGTGAAATACCTGCAAACCTCTATTGGTTTGGATGTGATGAAAATAACAGATGCCTTGAAATTAGCAATTCAAAACCAGCTTTGAGAGTAATTTCTTTTCCTCATCCTGCTGAATTGACTTCCTCTGTATATCTCCGACAATGTTCTTATATTTGATGAAGCTATTACTGCTCTTTGGAAATAATTTGACATTGACATCACTACAATGTATTGATTTCTTGTCTAATCTTAGGCTTCTCGCTGACGCACTGGTAAACGTGGCAATACTGAGAGTCACACAGGGATACATGTATTTGCAGGCCAGGTAGAGCTCGAGCAGCCTAATTCATTATCATTAGCTCAAGTTAATCGCCTGTGCAAACACTTCACTCCAAATTGATTTTCTTAAATAGCCCACAGAAAAAGAACAACCATCAAGTTGAGGGGTTGCTTAAGCTCCAGAGGACAGATTACACACCGAGCCTAGACTCTGAGCTGCAAGAAATTACAGTGCTATTATATCTGACACTTTTAGCGGGACTATAGTTGAAGTCCAAGCCTGATATTAAAAGCACTTGATTGCATTTGGCCACATTACCGGTTTATTTATCTTCACAGACCGTCCTGAATGGCAATGTATCACAGATTTAGTATTGGTATTAGTATTGGGAATCAGATATTAATGTATGCTAAAACTCATTGTTGAAACTAGATATTGATTGGATTACGTATGGGTACAACACACATTTACATAGGACAAGACAACAGGACAACAATTTTGCATTTTTTAATACATTTATAAAGATATCTTACAAATGAAGCATTGTTTTGAGATTTGCTGTAGTATAGATTTAGTATTAAAGTCGTGTTTAGAATTTTAGTTCAAGTTTTCTACAGGTTTCCTCTAGTCATATGTCGGTCTTTAAAAATCCTTTTCTCAAGTTCAGTTTTTGAAGATTTTTTAAGACCCGACTGGAACCCTGTAGTATCATGACAACACTAATTTACAGTACAAAAACATCTATAATATTTTTCCATTATAATTGAAAAAAGTAATTTCCAATTCCATTATTTGTATAATCATTATTCCTGCAGAAGCTCAGTCGGTCGAGCGTGTATCCTCTGAACGCAAGGTTGCATCCGCAAGGAAAAACTCATGAGAAAAACCCAGTGGGGAAAAAGGTAGAAACCTCGGGGACACCCATAGTTTGAGAAAGGGATCCGCTCCCACGGACGGACGGGCTAGAGATCCAGGACCTAAGCTGCAGAACGTGGACCAGTGGCCGCTGAGCGTGGACAGGTCCGGACTGAAGAACTCCCAGGTGTTCCTCTGGTGTTTCCAGAGGTTAAGTGTCTTGCCAAGTAGGGGTCGGTGGAGAAAGTCTTGTGGTCCCATTGGTTTAGCCCCTGCTCCTATTGGTTTCACACAGTTGACACCTGGTGCGAAACTTGCTCCCGTTGGTGATTGCTGCCATGTGTCCTTGGGCAAGACACTTTACCTGCCTCTCTCCCCTAGAGAATGGATGATTGGTTCATTGATGTGTGAAGTGCTTTGAGTGCCTGGATAAGCGCTGTATAAATATGACTATTTGTCATTTTACCTGTTGCTACAGTTTTCTTACTGAGAGAGACATTTTCGCTTTTTACCCCCTTCAAACTAAGTCAACGCTTTTACATGCTTCTTTAATTCTTTGCATCGCTGGCGCTTGTCGCAGTGGAGATTGTGATCCTGCTGAACAGAGCAGACAAGATTGAGCTGGAGGTGTCGCGCTCAATGGACGTCAGTGGAGTGGGCTACGACATGTTTCTAGAAGCTGTCCTCGGGAATTTTGTCCGCCACTCACAGATAGGAAAGCGCTCAGACCACAGGGCAACATTATGAGTCTTTGTGCATTACAGTAGGTGTTGCAGAAATGGATCGGGCAATATATCAGTGTATTTATGGTCAGAACATTCACTGAAGCATCGTACTTGTCCCTGCACTTACACTTACACATGAATAATGCCAGAATGCTAATGTAGCCGCTGTATCCCATCTCTGCATGAAGCCATTACGTCTATTTGCGGTCTGAATGCGCTAAACTTCTCCCACCATTCAAATTGTTGCAGTTGACTGGAAGCTGACTGCAAATCACCTTAATCCTCCATTAAGATCTGACAGTTTTGTGCCTGTGCTGTGAGGGGAAACAGAGAACGATGGCACACCAGGAGAGGATGGATGCTTTTGGGGGAGAAGATGCGGTCTAGTCTGAACACCCCCAAGGCTCCTGTTTGCCAGACCAGAACTATACCCCCTCCCTCCTCATGTGAGCTCTGGGACGGGCTGCAAAGTGGTGGGAGGCTGAAGACCCCCCCCCCCCGAGGTCCCACTATTACTTCTTAAGGCACCTCTTTGTCACGGCCATTACTGTGTTCAATACTTCATGTTCAAATGGTCCCCCACCGGACAGACTGGGAGGGAACTGACAAGAGCTGTGGGCCCGCTGGAGTGCTCTTCCATCGCTCTGTCCTATTATCACCTGCCACTGAACTATACAGTATGTAATATCAGAGACGGCAGAGGCTTTTCACTCAGTTACTCATACTGTGAGCAATTTAATGCAATTTGACCCTCATCTAAAAGAGACCTGGAGTTGTTTTTAGATGATACATATCAAGAACCATAAACTTCTGTCTTAAAACTCAGAAAGTTAAGATTTCCCACTTGGAAAAATGAACGCTGCTCACCTTGAAAACTTGGCTTGGATTGTTTTATTTGTATGACTGTTTTATCAGTTATATTTCAAATTTGGTTAAAAAAAACAAAACAGAAATTCTACTCCTCCCTCTGGTGGTAGAGTAGAGACTCACAGGCAGATAGCATTGTTGTCCCTTGATACTTGTTTCAACATATTTTTTCTACTTAAGATATTATTTCCCAAGTACGCATTCTCTTTGACTTTTAAGGGCCAAAAATAATGCATAATATTTTGATTAGTTTAGTAGTTTTGTACCTTGCCTAGATAACTTTTTGGAGTAATCACAGCATGAGGAAGGTCCATCTCACATCTGTGCTTGAATCTGTCAGAATATTTATTTGGAATAAATATAAGAAAATCTCAAACTTGTCAAGGCTTTTACTTATTTTTTATCAAAGCGCCTTTTGAACAGTTGAATGTGAAGTGCTCACAGCTATTACTGTTTATTCAAACTTAAAAAAAAGCCTGTGTGTTTGTCAATGTCCTTAAATGTGCCTTGTCACTTCGCGTCGTGACTCTTGGCCTGGGAGGTGTAGCGGTGTACAGATTGTGCGACGGCTCTGTAGTTGTACGGTGTTGATGCCTGCATGTGTGTTTGTTTATGCATGAGTGAGTAGTGGTGATGGGGTGTTCATAAGGCAGTCACACACTGACAGAATGAGGTCGCCTCGCTGCTCCCTGTGTCAGCGCACACACCTCACAAATACATACACACATACAATACCGACAATGGCCCACTTTGAAAACACAGAAGGATCCCTCTTTTGTACAACAATGTCCTTATGTCGTAACTGTCACACACTCAACACAAAATCCACAGCTTGTTCCATTTAAACAGTATAAGATAAGATATTTCTTTATTTGTCCCACAGTGGGGAAATTTCAGTGTCATCGTTGCACAAATTTCAGAAGAGAAAGAAGGAAATAAGACTCAGATTGTACACAAAAAACAGAGTCTATTCTTTAAGATAATAGACAATAAAACTAAAATAATGAGATGGTAAAATAAAAAATTAGATTTTAAAATAAAATTAACTCTGAAGCTATAAATGCATTTGGTTCAGAAGTATTTACAGATGTGTACATTGGATATATAGTTCTTAAGCAGCGGAGAATAAAATCAGAATAAACAGTAGCAACAATATCAACAGATAAAGTGACTCATGAATGACCAAAATATCGCATGCATGAATATGTAATCATGCAGAAATAATAATAACAGGTAAAGTGACTAGTGACTAAGTGAAGTAAGTAATCAGTAAAGTTGGCACTTACTTATAATGCAAATGATGTGTGGAGTCCAGCCCCAACCAAGCGGGGAATTTTTGATATATTTATTTTAGAATACCTATGAGGAGCTGGCATTGTTTTACTTACTGAAGAAAAACTCATCCGGGAATCCTCCTCATTACCATCCATGCTGCGTCTCTGCACCAGTACATGCCTATGGACTAATACACAGGCGTTATCCATATGCTATAACCTGAGAGGACAAGGTCATCTGGAAAAAGGCGAAAGGACTGACTCCAAAAATATTAATGATAATTTCATGATTATAATAACATTATTCTATGCCTCATGTCTCTTGGGTTTTTTTGCATTTCATTATGAAGATAGGATAATGAATGGAATGGTATGGTGAAAAGAAACGGACTGCATTTTAATGAAGGAGTGCGTTTCAGGTATTTTAAGAAGTTTTAGATGAGACTAAAATTGAGCATGAATTAATTATTAATCTTGACCAGATGGAGAGGAAGTCTAATCTTCTCCCCCTTAGTGATAATATTCAATTCGTAATCAGAGTCTTAAAGCCACAGAATGTGCAGACTGATGGTAGGAACTTGAGACGCAGAGGAAACAGTTTGCATGAGAACATTTTATTTATTGGTCTTACAGTACAGTTGGATGACACTTTTAGACATTCGTCATCGACATTCATTACTGGGGCAAACATAAATTGTCAGTACCCATTAGATACATTTGGCATTGATATGAGTGTATGTGGACACAGAGAGAAATGTGCTCAACAACTCCACAAGATCCAGTCAAAACGGCAATTTTCTTGATGCCGAAGCAAAACACTCAGCAACAAAGCCACCGTTCCACCCTCACTTTTACAAATTCCTCTAAATATGTAAACGAGAAAAAGCAGGCAAAAAAGTAGTTTTTGGCAGAAGTTTTATGGCTCAGTGTAGCAAGGATTTTGCCTTGAAATCCGAGACGGAGAAAAAACTACACAGCACTCGGATGTTGGTGCTACTCTCACAGGGAAAACCCCAGTTAATCCTCTTAATACTTTCACTGAAGAAGGTGATTGGACCCAACAAATCTTTAGTTTGGGAAACAAATTAAAATAGATTTTATTGGCCTGTTACTTTTGTAATCTTTGGTGCAGAATTCCGAGACTGCAAAACCGGTTTTATACTTCTGCTATAAACAAGACAAAGCTTTCCTCCTTAATGCTCTACTGGATCTCTTTGGGCATTCGCAAAAAACACCTTTTCTTTTAGTCAGATATTTTTAAGTTATAAAGTGGATCTCAGTTTTTGATCAAATTCATATCATTTGATTCATAATTCTCTCCATGAATCCGCACAATGTAATGATTTAGAGGGAGATGTAGGTATGCCTTGAATGCATCACCGCACACTCACACGAACCGCTGCTCTTCTCGACTGCCACAACTAATCTGTGAGCCCGGTGCCATGTGCTGCCGGAGGACACAGCCGCTGCGCTTTTCACATATTTTAGACAATTTAACAAATTATGTATGGCCTTTTTCCATGTTCTGGGCTAAGTGTTGCTGCTAGCATGAAACACTTGCCCTTATATTCCCATTATTAATAGTGAAATGGTGGTATTATTCGGCTAGCTGTTTAGGCACCATTAGTCATATGAAATACTGCTCAAGGCATCAGCCATTACCAGTCTCACTAAGGAGATCTGGATGAGCCACAACAATGTTGCGCAAAAAAATCTGCAAATGATCAGCAAACTATACACTTAATGCATGTGAGAAACATCCTTATGAATTACTGATGCTTGTATTCCTTTGTCTGTACTTGTCACAAATATTTTTTTTAATACAGTTTACCGTATTTATGCTGTGTATGGGGCAAGAGGTAAAGGTTTTCTATTTATCAGGATCACTTAGCTCTACACCAAAGGTCCACAATCCCTGGTTCAAGGGCTGGTACCGCCTGTGTGGGGCTTTAACTATAGAGTCGAGAAGGAATGGAGTTGTCCTGCCTCACCTCCAAGGTAAGAAAACCAATCATTAAAACTCACGCTGTTGATAAATGGCATTCAGTGTGTTTTACTTTATGCTTGTCGCCTGCATAAGTTTTGTTGACATTGAAGTGAGACGTTAACGCTCAAAACCGGGTCAGAACATCCCGAACGCCCGTGTGGCACAGCGGCCATGTTCTAAATACTCCCAAACTACAGCAACGTTCCTCCTGTTGTTGTTTGCGGCGAGGTGGGGGTGCGTTTGGTTTGCGTGGAGGGGAGTGATATTTTTTTTTATCAGGGTGGTGTGTTTGGGATGCCAGTGCGTGCAATTATTGTCTGACGTTAAACCGGTCCATGGCACTAAAAGGGTTGGAGATCACTGCCCACGACTTCTGCATCTGTCGTGACTGCGCAAGTCAAGGCACATCCAGAATCTGTGAGTGGAAAAGTTACACTACAGTAACCTTAAAACAATTATCTACAGCTATAACAGACAAGTTTATAGTCTGTGGGACAAAATACTAATACATGAAATAAGTAATTCGTGTCATAGGTATGACCAGTGGAAACGTTTATTGAACTTTAAAAATTCATATGGAATCACAGGGCACCTCATAGAGGCTGCATTATTTAATACTGAATGTGTCTGAAGCGGAACGGAGGTCCTGAGAACCAGACGGCTGTCATCTCTTAAAAAAGGACTTTAGTTAATGCATGAATAAACTGCTGCTGATATCATTCATCTTTTCTATTCATTTGGTCAAATATAAAGCTTGTAGCATATTATTGCTAACACCCATATCTGGCCAGGACTTGTTTTAATATTGATTTTAAATATTCTGAATCCTCCTCTTCTATCCTGGTAAAATAAGGGTCAAACAGGTAAATTAACATTTAAATAAATGAATGAATA